TTTTTTTTTTTTTTTTTTTAATTTTTTTATAGTAAATTAGTAATGGAGTTCTAATTTAGCTACCCAATTGGTGAAATTGTATTGGGTTGAAGGAAGTTCTTCAATTTCTTTATACAAGTCTCAACTTTCAATAGTTTCTGAAACATTTTGGCCATTGTTCTAAACCTTTTCCTTTTCGGGTATTAAAAAAATAGGATCATTTGGAAGTCACAAATTGTGTGCCTGAAGAGTAGAGACTTTAGTTCTTCCGTTCCTGTTAGGTACATTTCTAGCAGGGTGAAAATACCTGAAACTTCTCTGCCACTGAAAAGCCTAGGATATTGCAGCTGTCCTGATGTTAATGTGCTCAAGATAAATGGTGGAAAAGATATGTATGCAACAATTGCACATTGTGAAGCTTCTCAAGATCAAAATGAAATTTGCCCTGATTTATTATTTGATGACACTGAAGAAGGTAAACTTCTATCTAATGTGATATGGTTTTTTAGTTCATCGTTTGGGAATTAGTTCTACATCACTAGATGTAGTCAAACACTAAATATTTGCGATTTTAAGCATATCAATTAAATTTGCTGCCTAGCATGGGATGGTGCATGGTGGCATTGTTTTAAGTGTGGTAATGTAATGTTGTTATATTGTGGTACTGGATAGACTCAGTTTGTTATAAAATAAAAGTAATAACAGATTTATCACACTTTTGAGGCTACATTGTGATTTGTGATTGATGGTCTTTGTAATTGATAAATTGAATAAAAATAAGCTGCTTACAAAAAACAAAAACATGACTATTAAGAAAACAACGTGAAAAAAAGGAGGGGTAGTGTCGGTCTTATGGTTAACTAAAGTTCATTTTCTCGAGGATGAATTATATGTTCGTGCTTTTAGATTCACAATGTGTTTGTTTTTACCAATTAAAAAAATTACATCCATTATCATGCTTTAACATGTTTTAACTCTTGACTTGTGGCTTCTTTCTATCAATTTGTTATAATGGAATGTTCTGCTGCAGAACCAAACAGTATGATTAGAAATGGAACAGCCTTTATGAGTTGTATATTATATCTAAGAAGTGAAGTTGTTCTGAGCATTTTAATCTGTGGACTGTAGGTTCTTTTGATCAAGTGGAAGATGTTGGAGAGTTGACAATCGATCAGGGAGGACACTCTGGTGACCAAGATATGATTCCAATTGATAAATTTACTAGTGATGTTGAGGAGTCTGCTATTAAATTACTTGCAGCTAAGTTAGTTGTTGTCTCCCATTTCCTCATCCGAAAAATAGAATTTATTCAGTGCTAGCCTTGTTATAACTGTATTGTAAATCAAATTGAAGAGATTCTGAACCAAACATGGCTGAGCATAATGTTCATTTTTTAAGTGCAAGAAAATTCAATTTTTGTCATGCCATTAGGAGTATGTAGTTAATTGTTACTCTTTTTTCCTGTGGGGCCCACTTCCTTTTTAGTTTTATTCAGTGCTTCAACTTACAATATTTACCTTCTTGTAACAATGCCATTGATAAATTAAAGAGAAAGTCAAGTATTTCATCTTAGTGATGTCTGGGGAGGGTACACGTATGCAGCCTTAACTCCACAAGTAGAGAGCCTGTTTCCAGGATTTGAACTTGTGACCTCTAAGTCACAAGGCAAAAACCTTACTATTGTGCCAAGGCTCAACATGAAAGCTAAAAGACAAATTGTATGTCTTACTTTGGCATTTTAGTCACTATCTACTTACAAATGTCTCATGCATTTTTTCAGAAATTTCAACTAGATTGAAGTTGTCTTGTAAGTTGTATATCATTATATTAAAGAATGAGGATATGCAGAATGAATTGTTTGCTTATTTGGCATGCCTTTGGAAACATTTTAGCAAACTTTTAATAACAAGGAATTTCCTGGAGTTGCATTTGCTTATCAGTTGTTAACAAAGAGAAGAAATTTTGTAATAATTAGTAAAATGATATCTTTTTCCTTCTGGAAAGGTGAGTGTGCAAATTTAAAGTAAAATTCAGTCTTTTCTTTTAAGCATGTCTGTCTCTCTGTTCTGTAGGGCACTCACAACACTTGAGTTGAAAAAGAAATTGCTTGGAAAGAGATTCTCTCCTAATGCAGTTGAGGCAGTGATAAACAAGTTCCAGAGAAGGTATGTAATTAACTACATAAAACTGTTTAGCTATTGTTTATTAGCCAATTTTAAATGCTTTGTTACTTTAAGCTTTACTCACTTTCAGACAACTACTTCCTAAATTTGGTTCCCATTAAGATTTTATCCAGATAGAACAAACTAAGAGTAATATATGTTATGTGATTCCTGGCCTCAAAATGAGATGTCTGTAATTACAAATACAAATTCCCATCACAAATGACTTTGAATGCAACTCTAGCCAACTATTAATTCAGTCGTGGGATCTCCATCGGGAGAATGGCTAGATAACTTGTTATTGAGGAAGAATGAATGTTTTGAGAATTTAAGTGACCCATCTTATACAATTGGAAGGTTTAATTAATCATTTAATCTCTATACATGTTCCAATTTTTTGTTTTAGTCCTTATACCTAAAAACTCTATAGTTCTAATCCCTACATGAGTAATTGTTTACATTTTAGTCTGTTGTTAGCTTTCTAGTGGTGCAAAACCGCCACAAAATGGAGACATAAGGACAAAAAATGTAAATAAATATGCTTGTGTAGGGACTAAAATGCAGAGTTTTTAGATATAAGGATTAAAATAAAAAAAAGTTAGCACAAGTATATGGACCAAACAATTAATTAAACCTAACTGGTAATATGGTCATTTTCCAATTTAAGTCTGAATTAATTTATACTTAGAGTTGTTTACTTTTTAATACAGCATGTAATGACACTTCTTTTTTCGGGTTTTTTTTTGTGTCAGAAACTGATGAACAATTTTCCACTTTTTTCCATTGAAGAGCTAATGGATATAACATGTTTAAACTGATGAACAATTTTCCACTTTTTTCCATTGAAGAGCTAATGGATATAACATGTTTAAACTGATGAACAATTTTCCACTTTTTTCCATTGAAGAGCTAATGGATATAACATGTTTAAACTGATGAACAATTTTCCACTTTTTTCCATTGAAGAGCTAATGGATATAACATGTTTAGACTACAAAAAATAGGGAAAAAGGAATTGAGACGTTTAAAGTGCATGTTTGGTATGACTTGTTTTGGAGAAATATCAATAATCATTTTTATTTTCTGGCTTCCTGAAAGTGCTTTTGAAAAAAGTCAATTAACTCTCCCCCAAAAAAGTGTCAACAATGGTTTATGTTTTTGGACTAATTTTATATTCAAAACAACTTATAATCAAAAGCTTACAAAGAGAGCTTTTGAGAGATAAAAAAATAAAGATTTTTCTCTAAAATTCAGTCAAAACCAAACTTGCGCTTATTCTTTTTATTGTTTTCAAGGTTGAAGTAAAATATATGAATTTATCTTTGTTTGTTGATATTGTATAATTGAAAGGAAATGATCTGAGTTTTTACCTTGATGAAATAATTTTACTTGGTCACTTCACTTATGGTTAACAGTGATTACTTGTCAACAATCCATCCACTGAAAATTGTTACGGTTCCTTTGAATAAAGAAAAGTGAAGATGAACATTAAGATGTGGTTTGTAATGAAGGTGTTTATCAACACAAATCATGGAGATCGTTTTGGGAATCCAAAATTCTTTCTTCTTTTTCCATTTTAGGATGTTGTTTTTTGACAGTGAGTAAAGCTTCAAATAAGAATGCATTTGAAAATGTCTGATAAACAACAGCTCCACAGTTTTTATATGAAATGAACAAGTTTTCCTTTCCATTTAATGTTTCTTGCACTAAGAAGGATAGAGACTGATATATATTTTCTAAAAATATTTTATCATGAATTTTGTATTAATTCACACACATTATTAATTTATATATGCAGATGAAGTAATCATGTACTATGCAGAATTACCTGTGATAAATGATACATGTATTTCAAAATTTTCGAAAGTTTGCATATTACCCATTTTTATCATATTAATATGATATAGTTCAGCATTTTTCAAAATATGCTTTCTTAATTTCATTTATAAACTTAATTTGCAGACATTTTTATACTTTTTTATTTTTATTATGGTGATTAGTTTAACTTTTTTTTGTATCAGAGGGTATATCAATGATAGGTTGTATGCTGAAACATTTTCCCAAGCTAGATGGTCTTCGTCAAGTTGGGGGCCATGGCGTATCAAACAAGTAAGTTAATCTATGTTGTATTTTTGTTTGTCACATTACTTTCTGCTTCTTACATGTTACCTCAAAACTGTTCCGTTCCGATTTTTTCATGTCTACTTTTCCTTGTGTTTTGTTATTAGTCTCTTTGCAGAGCAGAGTAGTAAATAATGGTGCTGGTATTATGCTTGTGTTGTTTTGCTAAAATTTATCATCATTCTAACTCTAGAATATAGTATTAGGAGGAAAAATTGCAGTGCATTCTGACAGCATTTCTTGCTAATTCAGCAGAGCTGTGTGCTTGCACTTTTTTTTATAACAATTACTAATTGAGATTAAAAATGTGAAAATATATACTAGCATAGAAGGACAAAGTTAAAGTAATAAGAAATATATAATTTTCTAATATACGTAAATCTGAAAATTTAGCTTGTGTATGAAAAAATTTCTTTTCCCCAAAGTTTAAGAACTTTTGAAGTAGTTTATTTTTTGCAGCGAATTGTTTGTCAAATGCAAAGCTCCAATCCAATTCTTTTCTTTTGTATTTTATCTGATTGAATACTTACTCCTATTACTTAGCTACTTGATTAAGTGCTCAATTTATTTCATTTCAAAACTATCTGATTCAATTTCCTTTTTTTTCCTTTTCCAAATATGCAAAAATCACCTCATTTGAATTCAGCCTAATTCCTTTCCCCCCTCTAAAATTATAAAAACACTTGATTGAAGGCTTCAATCTTCTCTCATTAAGCTTGTTTAGATGCCCCAAACACACTAGGGATGAAAGAAAGCAGTGCTTGCTTAAAGGTTCTTCACTGTCATTATTGTGGGCCAAGGCAAGACCAATGGCCAAAGCTCAAAGGCCTTTCACCACACAAGCCTTCAATACTCAATAGCCATATACTTCTATTATCATCCAAGGGAAACACTTGTTTGATGGATTGCAATTGTCGTGCCAGGCACTGTTCAAGAAGGGAGTTAGTCAAGCTGATGCTGAGAAGGCAGTTGAATTGGTCTTCAAGGACAATGATTGTGCTGAAGATAACAAGTCAGTCATTGGCTTGTCAAAACATTCCATGGATCATCTTTATGCGCAGGCCTCAAAGCAGTGGTTCAGAGGTCAGAATGTACCCAAGGAGACAAGAAAAGCAAGAATTGTTAGGTGGCTTCAGTATCGTGGTTTTGACTGGAATGTCATTAACTTCATATTAAAGAAATTAGACAAACAGGACCAGAATTCTCCATAGTGCACAATTGGGAAATCCAATATTCATATCAAGAAAAATGCTAGCGGCACTAACTCTTAACACTTTCTTGTTAATACCTTATTATTGGTTAAAAATCACAAATTTTAGTAGGTCCTACCACTAAATCAGGAAAAAGACTCATTAAAAAGAGATGTGAAACCTACAAAATTTGTGATTTTCAATATTCACCAATGAGAAATAGTGTGTTGTTAACATTTTTCTTCATATCAATCTGGAAAACCATTGGTGGGCTCCATACATGTTTCTTGAAATGTATAATGTGTAATGTGGTAGGGTTGTAGCCTCCTTTTGCTCTTAATGCTGTTGCAAGAAAACTAGTAGTTCATTTATTTCTTCAATTTGCTTAAGGTCATGTGGCATTTGAACACATAAGGCTACACTTTGTCTGGGTACATTGAAGCTACTTTTCTTTTTCTTGTTGAGGCTGAGATAAAGGAGCAAGCACCACTAAGGAGGTGCTACGTGTGAGTCCACTGTGTCCATTCTTGTAGATATGGCTCTAACATGATCCAGAAACAATTGATCTATGCTTATCTTAAATGCTTGCTTACGCTAGAAAGATTATCAACATGCCTATCCAATAGCAGTCATCCGTCAACTAGCATTAACGATTATCTAGAGCAGAATTAGTGCCATTAATGATATAATGGCATGTCTTGAATTATTTCATAAAGCGATGGAAACTATAGGGCTAATTGGATGCAGACGTGAAGTTCCCAGAACTCTTCAATAGCAGCTCTGAATTTTAATTTATTGTTTTCTTTTGGAATATATCATTTTATTTACACATGATTAAGGGTCTGTTTTGTTTTGCTTATTTTAAAGGAATAATCAATTATTCTTGACGGATCATGAGAGGTCTCATGAAAAACAAGTTTTTCTAAATATGCACCAAGTTTTTTCCTTAAATCATAAATTTTTTGAAAACTGATATTATTATTCTTTTTAATAATGTGGAACATATTTATGAGCTGCAATGAAACTCGTCAACCTAAATTTTTGCTAAACAAAATTCTTAATCCCTCTGGTTTTTTTAATTGTTAATTTTTTTAGTTAATTTTTTTTTTTTATTTGTCATTTTCAATATTCAAGACAACATTATATATTGTACTCTTGCACATCCACCTAACTTTTAACTAATTTATAGACAACTAATATATATTTATTATTTATTATATAATAAAAATAAAAAAGTGTATAATAGAAAACGTCAAAATTATTTTATTAAAAAAATAAGACTTATTATTTTTCTTGATTTATATATAAAAATCTTAAAGCGAATGTTGAAAAGAAATAGAGGTATACTTTTTATTTAAAAAAATTAATTAATAATAATATTATAAAAGAATTCATAATTATTTAAAATATAATTTTCATTGGTTATAGTCAAAATAAAATGCAAGAAAAATAATATTTTGATGAGAATAAACGATACTGGAAGACAAAGTGATGCTCTAGTTTTCTTTTGTCTTCCTCCTATTGTAGAAGTAGAAGACATTCATTTTAAAATAAGTTCCAAATCTTCTTGCAACCTCATTTTAATGTACTTAAAACCATTATTCTCGTACACATTCTTTTAACGTATTTCTTGTTTCTTTATTTTGACAACGCAAAAATACCATAAACACTGTTGGGATACAAACAAGTCCCACATCGATAAAATAATACAACAAATAAAAACTTATATAATACAAACATACTTCAATGATTGAGAGACCTTTTGGGTGATGACCAAAAAGCAAAACCGTGAGGGTTAAGGCCCAAAGCGGACAATATCTCATCATTGTGGAGTATGTTTGTGTAATAACCTTATAAAAATAACTCATAAAATATCCTCTTAGATAAATACCATAAAATAACCTCATCAAACACTTGTTCCTCAATTATTTTTAGTCCTCTTTTCGTACTCTTCCTAGAAAAGCCAAAAAGTCGTTCAGGAAAGAATCTTACAAAATATAACTGAATAAGCTTTTTGGTCAGTTCAGAGAATTTTGTGAGCCTTGCAAATGATAAAAAATTGCCATGTTCGTTTTCGCAATCTGCATATGCTTCATGACTTTAAGTCTAACAATCTTATCTGTTATACATGTTATGTTATGTTATCACTTTTTCAGAATGATAATGGTCGTGCAGAGCATAATACATGTGCGTGTGATTAACTTTCATTTCCAACTTAATATTTGTGCCTCCGAAGGACTTTCCATTCGTTGAAAAGTCTCTTTCAGACAGCACATGAGACATGTGAGGCATTCAACGTGGGACCATGTGCCCACTGTTTGAATTCAGTGTGTGCTCGTGTGTATATGTGAGAGCGAAAGAGAGAGATGCACCCTACGAATCTTATTGTTTCTGTAATATCCAAAAAAAAGACTCCAATCAATCATTCTAATTAATATCACTTCTTCACAATGTCATCGACTTATTCGGATAAGCTTTTCTATAGAGAAGTAAAGAACCTAAAATAAATTGAGCTTTCTTCTATAAATTATAATTAATTTATACACTTTAGTTTCTTCAAAAAGTCAAATGAGAGTTTCTGTAAAATTAAATTTAACTAATTGAAGAAGCTCAATTTATTTTCTATGAGTGATTACGGAAAAGTTTATAAGGCTTCAATATTTCTTAGACATCCCCCTGTACTGGCAGTAACATCTGAGAAGTTTCAGCACTTATACCCTGGAAAATGATATCAATTTATTTAATTGTTTCCATGTTACCTTGTTCACCACATAGACTAAAATAAGAACGTCAAAATTTGAATTCAAGGTAAAAGCACAAACAAAGATCGCAAAGACATCATTAAGACTGTATTGAGGAACCAACTAGCCTGAAACTTAATTTGTTGGGTGAAATGCTCTAGATTCTAGAATGCTTTTTATTTATATCTAACACATGGATTCTTGAAATATGCATTTATATCTTAGATTACATTTGAATATCTCTATTAATTCTGGCCACCTCTAACTGACATTCAATTTCACTATGCACAATTGATATGAACCATACATTCTCCATGAGTTGCATGCTTGCTCAACAGATTGAGTCCTCTGAGAAATTAAAGGAAGAACTACAAGTTCCACGTGAAACACCATTCTTAATTAGGAGGTGGTAAAGAAGCATGCACTGTTAAAACTCCCTTTAACACATCAGAGCCTGTGGTTGAGGCCTCAACAGGTCGAATTTCCTTGAGCATTGCAACAGTGTCCTTCATTGTTGGACGATCCTCAACTCTGGTGCTGACACATAGAAATGACACGGCTAGAGTTTGTAGCATTTCATGCATAGTAGAATCAGTTCTCCCTCTCAGCTTTGTGTCAAGAATCTCAGATGGGTCTCCTTTGCTAGCTAAGTGGTTCCTAACCCATTGAACCAAGTGTGCACCCCCAGGGAGTGTTGGATCTAGGGGGTGCCTTCCTGTTAGGACCTCAAGTAGGACCACACCAAAACTGTACACATCACTCTTCTCACTGATCTGCTGCATAGATGCATGTTCTGTACACATACCAAAACAACAAAAATTAGTACTGTTTCAAGGGGCTATGCAACTACTGAAAAGTCCAAAATACTTAAATAAATGAAACTTAGTGTGAAAAAAGTACCTGGAGCCATATATCCATAGGAGCCAGCAAGGTAGGGTCTTTGGACTGGCTTGGGATGAGTACAATCACCATTTTCACTTGCAATTCTTGCTAGGCCAAAGTCAGCAAGGAAAGGTTGATAGCCAGGACCTAACAACACATTCATGGCTTTGACATCTCCATGCAATATGGAAGGCACACAATCATGGTGCAAATATGCAAGTGCATGAGCCACTCCTAATATAACATCATATCTGGTCTCCCATTCTGGTTTTCCCTTTCCTGAACCATGAAGTAATGAGCTCAAGCTTCCATTAGGGAGGTAGTCATAAAACAGTAGCTTCATGTTCTTGCTGGATCCCCAACCTAGAAGCTTGATGATGTTCTTGTGTCTAATTGAACTTAGTGCTTGAATTTCAGAAGTAAATGCTTCGGACTCTGCAGATGACCACATCTTTTTAACTGCTAGTGTTTGGCCACTTGGAACTGTGACCTTATACACAACTCCTGAGCTTCCAGTGCCAATCACATTGGATGATGTCAAATTCCGGACAATGTCATCAATGGAGAATTCAAACTTCTGATACAAAGTCATCGCCCAACTGTTATTCTCCATGAGTGCTTTGTTAGCAACATGAGCACGGATCAAGACATGGATTGTGAGCAGTACTAGTACTGCACTGGTGCCTAAGAGAATGGACACTATAATCTTCGAAGCCAATTTGGCATGACCCTTGGCTTCCAATCTTGCAGCTGGAGTTTCAACACTACCAACAATGTAGAGACCATCATTTCCTGTGAGATCACTGAGAGGGAGTTTCCTGAAGAATGGAGTGTTAGGCAATTCTCCAAAGAACTCATTGAAGGAAACATTTAACGAAACAAGGTTCTGAAGGTTAGAGAGAGCATCCAAGTTTCCTGAGAGCTTGTTATGGGAGAGGTCAAGCACTCCAAGTTTTCTAAGACTGGAGAACTGGGGTGGGATTTCACCAAAAAACTGGTTACAACTAAGATTGAGAAATATTTCTAGTGAAGGAATTTGAGCAACTTCCTTGGGAATTTCTCCAGAGAAACTATTGCTTCCCAAGTCCAGAAGTTGTAACTTGGAGCAAGATAGGATCTCTTCAGGGATGCTTCCACTGAGTTGATTCTTTCCCAAGTTGAGTTTGGTTAATTCAGTTAATGAGCCAATGGAATGACTCAGTTCACCTATTAGCCTGTTGTCTGAGAGATCTATTAACTGCAGGTTTTTGGGCAGATGATCTGGAACAGAACCAGTGAGACTATTTGAATGGAGGTCCAGAAACTTAAGATTTTGGCATTTGGATAGTGTTGGAGGAATCTCCCCTACAAGGTGATTGCTGCTCATATCCAAGAAGTTCAAATTCTTCAAGTTGGTGATCTCAGATGGAATGGTACCTGCCAGTCTATTGTGATTTAACCTCAACCTGTAGAGACTTGTGCAGTTACCTATCTCAGGTGGTATAAAGCCTGACAAGTCATTAGAAAGAAGCAGCAGTTTAGTGAGGTTCCTCAACCCAAAAAGTTGTTTGGGTATTGGACCAGTCAAATTGTTGTAAGAAAGATCAAGTGCCTGAAGGTCTTGGCACTGTGAAAGACTATCTGGGATTTCTCCTATGAGCTTGTTCTGCCATGCAAAGAAGAGAGTCAAGCTTCTCAAGTTGCCAATAAGAAGCGGGATCTCCCCTGAAATAGCATTGTTGTCAACCTCCAGTTGAGTCAGGGAAGTGCAATTTGTGATTTCAGGAGGTATGATGCCTGAAAGCTTATTGACACTCAGTTGAAGCCCTTGCAAATTTGATAGCTTTCCAAAACTGGTTGGTATTCTACCTGTGAGAAGATTTTCTGACAAGTCTATGACTTCAAGTTGAGTGCAGCTTCCAAGCTCTTCTGGGATAGTACCTACTATATTGTTTTGCCATAAGAGAAGACTCTGAAGCTTGCTGAGCTCTCCAATTTGACTTG